AGGTAACAACACTGATTTTTAGATGCTCACACTTATCCACACTGTACAGCCCAGCTGTATTTTAATATTAGCTATAGTTTTTGCTAGCTTCAGAAACTATACTATAATAACTACTATACTACTATAATTTTTTTCAGCGTACGCGACAAATCGAATGCAAACAGAAAGGTGCGCAATTAAATATGCAGATACCCTGTCGCAGCTGAGGGACTCAAGCGGACTAGACAAAATAAAAGGCAAATATGGCCAAAAAGCAGCTTAGCTACAAAATGAACAAAAATTTACCTAAGTATGTGTGTGTGTGTGTGTGTGTTGGTGTGTGTGTATGTTGAATGTAACGGGATGCACACGAGGTCGATGGCATGCAACAGAGATGACATGTAAACATTTGTGCCACGCACTGCCGTCGCTCATTAATTAAAAATTGGAAAGCAACAACAACGGAAATAATAAAAGCAATAACAACAACAACAACAACAATGCCAACAATGCTGTAGCGGTTACCCTCTGACATGGACACATCCACACACACACATACACACACGCTCAGGTTACGCTACACGGTGTGTGTGTGAAATGGCGCTGACACGGGCGCCAAGCCTGACTGACTGGCTGACAGGGAATGCCACAGATGCCGCAGATGCCGCTGATGGGCTGAACAGTGCCTAGCAGAAGTTTATGTATTAAATCACTAAAGCATATGACAGGATTACACACATGTGCACCCATATCACATACACATGCATGCATACATGCATACATACATACATACATACGTATAAATCATGGCAAACTCTTTGGCTTACGCAGTGTTAACGCGAAAGGCTGGCTTCAATTGAATAAATGATTTATGGGCTGCTTCAAGTGTTGGAAAATGTGTAAAGGAGGAAATTGGAAGATAGACAACTTACAAATATGGCGATATATGTATACAGTAAACTCGAAATAGTGCAATTGAATAAATACTTTGAGCTGTTGTTTTACGGTTAAGTAATTCGAAAAAATTATCTGATATATCTGAAAGAATTACATACATTTTATATTATTGATATCAAATGTATAAGAAAATACCCATATATAGTAAATGAGAATATTTTAATAGTTATAAAATTCGAAACAAGAAAACGGTATATATAAGATTACTAAAGAAGAGTTTTTAGTGTAGCAAAATGTTGAAATATCGAGTGTTTTATATCAATATATCAGATAATTATAGTTGTAAATATATTAAAACAAAAATAAATGGCATGCGTTGGCTTAAGGCGTTAATCAAGTTCCAGTATTGGAAAGTCCTGAATAAAATGTTTAAATGTATTTAATTATATGACAAGATTATACTTATATAAAGGAAATTAATTGGTTTAAGTCGTCTGTGCAATTGATTGGAAATGCCACAACTTGCAGTGTTGTAAAATACAAACAGATGGCAGGCTTACACTTATGTAAGATGCCATTACAGAGCGCCTCACTGCGGGCATATTCGCTGGCCAACTTCCAGTGTTGCAAAGCGCAGCTAACTGCAAAGTCAGCTAATGATACGTGAATGCTTATGGAGAACTAGCCAAATTATATACATATATATCCATATATATCTATTTTTTACTATTCAAACGTGCTCTTCAGCTCACTCAGCTAATGCCCAAAAACAATGAGGAGAAAAAAAACTTTGTTGACCTTAGAAGAGGGAAGAAGCGCACCCTTGCCGCATGGGGAACAATCGTCTGGCGTTGCCATTGTTGCCCGATGTTGCAAGCGCAGCACAAAAGTGCCAGATAATCGCCGGCTAATACATTGAATGACCGCTGCACACCACACGCTCCCACCAGCCACCGACCACCGCCCACCGCCCACCGGATGCGGATCCATTCGTATTGCCATTAAATTCAATTACATGACAATAACGTGGCGCTTATGGCGCTGCGGTTCACGAAAAATTGAATATAAAAATAAAGCTGCAGCTGATAAAAACTGCAAGCGAAAGCTAAACTAAAGCTGCTGCGGCGCGTGCACAAGTGGCGGACAGAGAGAGAAGAGAGCGCGAGATGGAGTGGGAGCTATCTGTGAGAAAATTATGATTAGCTTTTGGTAAAGTTTTCGAGCGCAGTCAGCAGGCGGCAGGCACTTGAGAGCTGCCATTGCATACTTTGCGGCAGACGAGCCGCAGGTCCGCGGCCCGCCGCTAGTCAAGCGAGCAGAGCAGCCCTGGATAGCGCGACAACTGAAAGCAACGTGCAGCATGCAGCGTGCAACGTGCTCAGTCCCATGACAATGGACACCCGAAAATTCCGCAACGTTTGAATTTCAATCTTCATTCTAATGGGGCGGACACAGTGTGCGGCGTCGCTTTTTCGTAATCGCTTCATAATCCCAACGAAATCACAATAAACTTTATCTGTCGCCGTTTCGGATGATAGCAGGGATTAGATGCTTAAGTCGTCTATGCTGGAGGCAAGCGTATTTAAATTCCAAAATTCGCTGGACAGGACGGACATAGAGAAGTTGACTATGAGCTATGCTACATGTTGAGTGTGAATGAGATGAAAAATATTTGTATATTCTGTATTTTCAAGGGTATATTAAACATGTCCAAATACATTGAAATACCCTGCAGCTGAAGTAGATAGACTTGCTGTATATTCTATATTGTTTATAAGTTTATAAAATTATCGAATATTTTTCTGGCATTTAGTTTTGGGTATATATGGGTACACTGTAGTTTCAAGTATACAAAAATATTACGTATTTACCAGTCTCAATAAATATAAAGTATCTTAAAGTCTATCGAAATATGTTGTATATAAATAAATAAATAAATTATATTTATAAAAATAGGGATTCATTGCATTACTGTTGTGTCTGAACAATGCAAAAATAAATAAACTAAAATAAAATAAAATTTTCTATGTCAAGGTTTTGTTTTTAAATGTCAAACTGAATTTTGTAAAAATAAAACAAAATTCTCAAATAGCAAATCCATAATTTAACTTCTGTTAAAAATAAGTCTGTAGCATAAGCTTAATGTGTGGGTGTCAAACAAAAATGTTTAAGAGAAATAAAGCACAATAAAATAAAATACTCATAGTTAACTCCTTTAACTTCTTTAAAAACGGCTTTTCAAGTCACATGTCCACAGGCGCTATTATTCTTCGTCAGGTCAAAGTGCAAAGCCATTTTCATATATTTAAATATTTTAGCAGCCCATGATAAAAGCAAATTTGTCGTGCAGATTTGCAGTTGATTTTCCGCTTTCAATTTGCTTATTTCCTTTTACGCCCATAATCAGTTATCTAAATATATAGAGTATTTACATATATAATATAGCCGTTGCCATTGAAGTTAACAATTTGCATATATTTGGCCAAATAAAATGGGACGCTTTAAATGCGAACAGGAGATGCGGACGAGCAAATTTAGCACAAAAAGACAATTTGTCACAATCACAATTATTACGCACACACACACACACTGACACACACACACAGTGACATGGCAAATGCAAGTCAAGCAGCTGGAAAACAAGCCAAGGGAACTTTTGGTAGTTCGAGCCGGTGCTGGACATGGGCCTGTACAATGATGCAGCAAACATGACCTGAGCCTTCTGCATGCAGCCGGCGACACCTGAAGCCGTCCTCAAACACACACACACACACACACACATACACACAAATACACACAAACATTTTGTCATAATTTTTAGTTAATTTTTAAAATGCAAATCATCGATGCCTGGCCGGGCCGTGCCTAGCCTGGCCAGGCCTGGGAGCTACGGGACATATGCTGGCCTGGTGCCTGACTGGCTGACAGCTTTCAGCCTTTTGACAAATTCTGGCAGCGTTGTTATTGGACGCACGCTCGTAACGCTCGTAACAGCTATGCAATATTTCAACGAGCATTTCGTGTTGGATTTCCATTATGTTTCTCCTAGCATGTACAAATTGTTGCCTACGGGTCGGGTTCCAGGTCCAGGTCCGGGTACGGGTCTGGGTCTGGTTCTGAGTCCGGTTAGGTTCTGTCTGCCTCGACAATCTTTACAAAGTGCGCCATGTACTCGATGGGTTTCTGTTTGCTTCTGTTTGCTGTTGTTTTCATACATATTTAGTGCGTGTTCTAGTTTCATTAAATTTATACATTCCCTTTAAGACTGGTATTAAATCTAAAAAATATTTTTCATAATATGCAAAAATTTAAAGCATTTCGGAAACTTTAATGTCAGTTTAAAAAAAAAAAACATATGGATCTTAGTGCTGAGGTCGATCATGCATTAAGTGTTTTATTCTTTGCTATAATAATAAAGCTATGATTTTTTTTTGCTTATCTCATTATTGTCCTTTACTGTATAAGATTCTACAGCACATTTTGCTTAGAATTATAACCAATTAGTTAGCTAGTATGCCAGTATTATTTATGGGCATCCTACTGATCTTTATATACGGTTAGGCTATAATAATAACTGATATTATAATTTCATACATTCAATTTATATTTTTTTTGTAACTCATTTTAAAAATTATTACATTCTTAATTGCTTTTGCATTATATCGCGGCTGACTTTGACAAATAAAAATTTTTAAATTAAATTTTAAAATAGGAAAATGCGTGCAAGACTTCTAAATAATAAATAATTACCTATTTTTTTCTTTACTTTTTTTTTTTGGTATTGGAGTTTGAGAAAATCTTAACAAATAAAAGCTTTTACATTTTTTTTTAAATAACGTATTTTTGCTGAGGCGCTAGCTAAGCCCAAGCGCACTTCAAGCCCGACTTGAGGGAGCTTTCGCCAAAAGCTGAATGCTTTAAAAAGCTCAAGCCGGTTTCGGTAATTACGCATGCGCCACCGAAACCGAAGCCAAGCCGAAGCCAAAGCCGAAGTCGAAGCCGCAGTTGAAGCCGTCAGCCGAGATGCATTTTGCATAAAGTATTTAACACATTTTGTCTCGTTTGCTTCGAACTGTTGTTGTCTGAGGGAGCAGTAGCAGCAACAACAACAACAACACGAACAGGTCGCAAAGCACATTTAAAAAGTGTTTGAGACAGGCGCAAAGCTGACAGTTGGCTTTGAGACGGCGACGCGTGCGCACGAAGAAACACAGAGAAAACACGGTAAATAGTGCAATTGGTGAAGTGTGAAACGAGTGGAATTGAAACACTGCACAAGTGCTGCAAAGTGGTGGGAAATCCAAATGAACTCGTCTAACTTGTGCTAGCAACAGATTCTCGTGCTACTATAAAATAATTAATTAGACCAAATATTAAATAAATAAACAAAGACAACGATATTTAAATGCTTCTCTTTGCACAGGTCGAACTGTTGAACAAAATGGCGTCAATGAAAATCTGCATATTCGCGCTGCTCGTGGGTAAGTGAAGTCTCTCGGTCTCCCTCTATCTTTCCCTCTCCCTTCCCCTCTCCGTCTCGCTCTTGCTCTCGATGGCAATTAATGAGATGGCATCGGCAGTCAGCATAATGAGTAATTTTATTCAAATAGATTTGACAGCGCCAAACAATTAGCATTCATTTCGAGCCTCAGCTGAAACAGTTATTTGCCCAATGCATATTAATAGCGACAACAAATGTAATTTTTCCCCAATAATTCAACATCGATTTGGATGGAAACTGTCGTCAATTGTGAATTTGTGCAATTTGAATGACTATGCTTTAGCAATACCCTAAACATATTATCGTTTTCCATAGGGTATATAGCTTTTAGTGGATGTGAATGTAATAGACGTGACCTTATGGAGTATATACAAAGAAATATATATTAATATAATATAATAATATTATGAGCAACTTTACAGAGTCTATGATTATAGCATTACCATGAAAAAATACAATTAATTCTACTCGACATTATTATTGTGAAGAACTCTGAGTGCTAGGTTCGAAACTAGATCTTTGTTTCATGATTACTCATATGTATGAAGTTATTCCGTCTATCTTCTGAAATATGTGAAAAAGTACTACTTCAGCTAAGATATTGAATAAATAAATTCAGACAACATATTCTTTAGAGTTCCAAAAGCTTTTAAGCCAGGTAGCGTAAGAACTGATACGGAATTGTAGTAAATTCCTTTTAAATGAATTTTTTAATGTTTGAAATTGTTTAATAACTTTATTCAAATGTCAAATTTAATTAATTTTGAGAACTTATTATTATAAATGCTATAAATAACTATTAAAATATAGCCAATCGAATTAGTATCTCTCTTGCTTGGTTACTCGTCCTATACAGTTTAGGGTATTCTCTAGTCAGGCACTTCCCATTAAATATCTCTATATCTGATTCTATTTGTTGGAATTTCATGCATTATATGTAAATTGCATTTACATATGTGTGCATAATTTTGGTTAGAAATATAAATAGACGTGTCAGCACGCATGCATTTAATTTCATTGAAATTCATATTTGACTAATGTTCGACAATTAATATATAGTTTTTGCCCAGCTGGAAGTACGAGTGTATTTTGTTGGAATATTTTGTTTGGTGTGGCGCTTCATTAAAATTGATGTTGTCTGCCCCCCAAAACACGTATCAAATTGTATTTTTTGTTGTTGTTAATTTGCACTCTTCACACAAGAGTCACATGGATGTGCGTGTGTGTGTGTTTGTGTGGGAGTGTAAAACATATTTTGTAATCATGTTAAAATGGCCATGAAAATTATTGGCAATTGTTTGTGCGCCACTCCTCATTAAATATCATCTCTCTCTACCTACATATATACATATGTGGGCATCAGAAATAGAATTCTCGTTTAATTACGGGGCAAATGTTGTGTGTGCGGTATGTGAACAAGGGAGTTCTATTGGCCATAAACGATGCTAACCATTAAAGAAATAGAACAATCAAACTAAATTAGTTTGTTATTATGTTCCAGCTATAACAGTCTATATCAAATAGGAGAAACTTTAATAGTTTAAAAACCTCTCCGTTTGGTGTGAATGGCTTGATTAAATCCCAGCTCAAAATAGTTGAGCGAGCGACCTGAAAAAGATATACTGCCAGCTAGCTGTTTCTATTTCATCTGGCAAATGTTCAATGAACTTCACACGCATGTTTCACGCCCATTTTATTTCTCTATGTGACGACAGGCCCGACCACCCACAAAATTGTGTGACTCGAATTCGATGCGACGATGAAAGCAAACAAGGCAAAAAAAATAGACTTTGGGTATTTTTTCTCTCAATTTCATCAGCTCGCTGGCTAAGGCACTCAATTAATCTAGTTTAACCGCACTGGAAATACGAGTCAAAGGGGACGCGAGGCGTCGTCGGACAGGGGAAATGGAGCAGGGGACAAGAGGCAGACTGTCGCAACCGGGATTCTATGATAAACTTGTTGACAAGCTGTCAGATCCACGGAAAACTTTAAGCGCATGCCCGACCAATATGCGACACAGTTGAGCATATGCCAAAGGGAAGATAATGTAGAAATAAGTCTATAGACATATAAATAATTGTACCGGGAGAAACTTGAGTAATAATATATAAAATATTTGAGGATTGGTATATAAATAGTAAATAAATAAATAATTAAAATGTATATGCATATAGATAAAACTTTGAGGTAATTACATTAATCCAAATCCTTTATCTTATAATTTTTTAAAAACCTAAAATTTGTTTTTTAAATGAAAATTAAGCGTTTAATTGTTTTAGTATATTTTCATTTTAAAAGGATTTTAAAGTATGTAGATGTTGTTTCGGTTCATATTATTATATTATTATGTTAATAGAGAGACAAATACGCAATATTTAATTTTTTGAAAATTCATATATAGTTTTTAATTCATTAAACACAATTTTTAGTTTTATAATTTTTTCATTTACATTATTTTTTATATAGATATGTTTATATATAAAGAGATGCAGTACCATTGACTTGAATGCAAATCTATCTATATAGTTATATAAAACTACATAGTTGAGTCAGTATTTATGTGTAGTATTACCTATAACAACCTTCAAGTTGGTAAATAAAATCTTTCTTCATTTATACATACTGCAAAGCTCTTCATGTAGCTGAAGTGCTCATTGTCTGACTCTCCGCTAGAGTATAGCCAAAATCAACTACGAAAGTCATAGCAACTTTTTCTGCCTTTTGTGAGTTTTTTTTTCCTCGGCGGTTATTTTTTTTATTTTTCTTCTTTTGTTTTTTTTTTTTTTGGTCAAGTCGTGTACGAAACGTGTTTCAATGACAAGCGGCGGCTGCAGTGGCAACAACTTGTTTTATTGTTGTTGTTGTTGTTGTTGTTGCTGCTCTGTGGTGTTGGTGGTGGGCTTAAATGTTGCCTGACACTTTACGCACTAATTGCTCTGTGGAATTGTTTCTTTATTAACGTTTAATCGAATGTCAGGCAGTCACACTCCACTAGGCAAGGCAGCAACAACAGCTCTCGCAATTGAATTGAATTCGTCTTTTCTTGTATTTTCGTATCTCGATTGTGTTTAATATTTCGTATTATTTTTTTTTATTTATTTATTTTTTTTTGCATTGTTGCCATTTAAAGTGGTTCACCTTGAAGTGCCACGAGTTGCAGCAATTCGCTGCAGCTTGTCGGAAGTGCACGGCAATGGCTTTGTTGGCCATGCCTTGGCTAATCGTTGGCCAAGTCGTGTCATTAGCTCACCTCCAGCTGATTGGCAGAAAAACAGCTGATTTAGCGCTTCTGGAGAGGTTTATTTATTTTTGTTGTTGTATGTCGTAACTTTCACTTTTGAGGTCGCTTGCCTGATTAGTCCATGTCGCAATCTCCACTCCCAGTCCATAACACAACGAAATAACACACGCTCGACTCATATACATATCGGCATATATTAAGTTCCAGCAACTGGTTTTAAGCGTCTAAAAATTAAGCAAAAAAATGTGTAGACTTGTGCACTGCACAAAATTAGGGCTGTGGTTTCTGTTAAGACTGACCGGCCGGCGAATAGAAAAGAAAACAATTCATAATAATACTTATACATTGATTAATTTATTTTAAAAATAATTTACTTGCTTGCTGTTTAAGTTTCTGATACTTTGTTATGATAACATTTTATGATATTTGAACATAAAATATATGAAATATGTAAATACTAATAAATAAAGTAAAATGAAAAGTCAGTCGGGGTAATCAGAAAAACTAGTTAATTAAAACAATTAAAATATTTAATTATATTTTAATTTTTAATAACAAAAAATAATAATTATTTATGGATATTTTTTATATTTTTTATATTTTTATTTTTATAATTTTTGTTTAATTCAAAACATTTAAAAATGAAAATACTCGGAACATTTTAAAACATTTTTAAAAAAGTAAAAAAAAAAAATAAAACCAATAATATTATACATAACAATAATAATTAAATAATAAATCTCTTAAAATTGTTTTTATATATTTTCCTTAATATATATTTTAAGAAAATATCTTAAATGTCCTAATTTGTAATTTACTGACTGAGCTTCCTAAATATTATTTCACATACATTTTCCTTAAGTTTCTTTAATTTTGCTTTACAATATTTACGCCACTCTTCCATTCAATGATATGATTATATCATAATTCTAGCTAATTTTATACAATATTCCATTTTATTCTTTTTGTTGCACAGGAACAACGCTTGCTCAGCGTGCATATATGCGAGTGGGTCCGGGCCATCCACCCTCACAGCGCCATTTACCACCAAGAATTCGTGATCCTGTCCAGGAAGCGGCTGTGGAGCCCAAACGGAAACAAGTGCAGGCAGCGGCAGAGTACGAGCCCAGCGAGGAGTGCCCGGAGCCAAATGGCTTCTATCCGGATAGCAAACAGTGCGATAAATATTATGCGTGCTTGTAAGTCACAAATATACATACATATATGTATATATGTCGAGGAAGATGTGAATAAGATATTGGCAGAAATCTGAAATTAAATCGAGGAAAATATTTTAATAGATGAGGAATACCGTATATATTCTATATTTCATTTTTCCCAAAGAGCTCGGGGTGGAATATTTTCTACCTTCGATTACAGTTAGCTAATAACAATAGGAGGCAATAAGCTTTATATTTTGATCTATATATACATTTAGTCGTATATATACTTAATCTGCATTTAAATGCCTTGCATTAACCCCCATCTCAGTCTTTTGAGCTGCTTTGCTTTCCTTATTTTATTCGCTTTAATCAATGATGCATAAAAATGCGCGTTTGTTCATCTTTCGCGCCATTGGCTCTTCAAGTATTAATAATTCAGGCGTGCTGAGAAAAAAAAGTGTTACAATATGACACGAATCCAACGAGGTGTAAGCTCTATGTGAGCATAAAAATAGCTAGTGAAAAGCTGGCAGTGGAACAGTAAATACTCCGGATAAACTCGAAGCCAAATAAATTCCAAATTATTTCATATATTTTAGGCAATGCACTAATTAAGCTCCGGCTTTGGTCTAATTACAGAGACGGTGTGCCCACGGAGCGTCTGTGCGCCGATGGCATGGTCTTCAACGACTACTCGCCCATCGAGGAGAAATGCGATTTGCCCTATAACATCGATTGCACCAAGCGTTCCAAGCTGCGTGAGTTTTGAGTCAAGTTGGGCTCTTCAATTTATTTTAAGTATGCAGAGCGTGTGGCTCAGCGTGGAATCTCACGCTTGCCGCTATATTTAAACCTGACTAAAATCAGACCAATAAACACAACGGTCGTGCCCACACTTATTTGCTCGTTACGCGTACCTTTAAAGCTCGAAAAAAAACAAATCCAAAGAAGAGCAAGAACAAAATACAAAAAATAAAGTTAACTTATTTATTATGCAAAACAGCATGCGAGATGGTTAACCCAAATTGTTGTCGTCAATAGGTCTTTGGTCCCCTGGCTTGGATGGGTCTTCCCTCTCGCTCTCTCACTCTCTCACTCTCGGTTGCTTTGGGTGCTTCGTTTTTATTTTAGCCATTTCCTTGGTAGACTTGTTTTATTTCTTATTTTATTATTTTATTTTGTCACGCTCAGTATGATTTTACTGTTACTGGGCCAAGGGGGACGGGACAAGGAGGCCTTTGGGACGACACGTGGCCTCCAAGGCTTTTTTTTTTTTTTGGCATTTGCACTGACAGTAAAGAGGCTTAAAGTCGACTACATTTTCTAATTTCCAATTAGTCATATTTTCACGTCAGCTCCATTACATGCTCATGTCGTATGCTCATACGACTGAATGGCACGAGATTCACTACTATTCAGAGTAGCTCGCTCTCAAAATTTAAATAAATAATTGTTCATACATCGAAGCAATTAGCACACCTCATACTCGCCCATTGGCCATTTCAATTACCTTTGTCTTTGACCAGCATATGGTTTCTATTTTTGCCTCTCCTTTGTCTAAGAAGTACTGCAGCATAATCGATTTAAGGCTACATACGCTCCAGCTCCAGCATGCTCCTTGCCAGAGGAAATGCCCAACGTTGGGCCACAGGAAGTTGGTCCTGTTAAGATATGGGCTTCCAGTAGATTGCACTGTTGGCCAACGACTGCGGCAGTAAACTTTCAGTTTAGAGCATAAACAACTGCAGCCAAATGATGCTGCCTCGACACTGAAAACTATGCTGGGACCGAGTAAAAAACACACGACTTCATATGCAAACACTCTGTTAAAGAACTTTTAAAAAATGCAAATATTTAGGCTTACTACTCGTAGTAAGAGTAGTTGTGATTGTAGAACAGTAAGAGAGGAAGAAGAACTAT